GGGGGCGGGCAGCAGGGCGGTCACTCCAGCGTAATCAGGAGTGGCCTCTGGCACTGGAGCTGAGAAGCCTGTGGCGTGGGATGGAGGCGGTGCCGGAGGAGGCTGGCCACTGGCCCCGGCGGGAGGTGGCGCTGGACAGAGGTGGAAAGACAGGATAAAAAAAGGAGAGAGAAAAAGGGAGTAGTAAAGCCACAACACCAGCACTCAGACACAGCGCATCAAAGTCGACTACAGTTAGTACCGAGCAACGGGGGGCCGCGTGCGACGCCCGCCCCAGAATGCTGACACCCAGAGGAGGATGAATCACGTGTCCTTTCCATCGAATGAGCAGACCGATGAACGGGCCAGCCCACCCTTTACAAGGGAAACACAGCACCTGCCTTCTTAATTGTCCTTCCTGGGCCCTCCAAAAGCACATTAAGGTTATACGATGAAGGACCATAAACAGATGAATACGTTCAGCTGTTTTTTTCCTTTTTAAACACCAAACAGCCAAACTGGCCAATGTTGATTGTAAAGGGCTGGGAACCCCCCGATCAATGCTTATTTATGGGCAAGTTTTGTTCCATCGGCTATCACCCCAGAAGATAATTGGGCAGGTGAAGGCAGATCATTCACTCAGACAACAAACCCATATTTTATCCAGCCCGCCCTGAGACTTCCCCTAGAGGCCATGCGGAATAAAAACGAATTGTTAAATCCTACAATACGTGTTCGTTTTCATGAACGGAACCAGGCCTCAACCTTTCGGTCGTATCTTCACCGGTGGGTTTTGCCATGAATGCCATCATTTAGTCATTTCCATAGCATTACAAAAAAAATATTCTGCAATAACTAGTCCGTTTCAGAGAGGACTGTTTTTCGCCTCCCGCTTTTAAATTCCTCCCCCAGAGCCTCAGGAATACAATCTTGCCGAACGGCACTATAGTCCTCCTAAGGCATTCAAGACCATTTAAAGCAACCTCGAGAGGGAACTACAAGTTCCTCCACTATCAAAAAATTTCATAAAAAACACTTCTACTTTAGAGCTGATGTAGAGGGAGTTGGAAGAAGGAGAATGCCAGACTACAAATTCCCAAGAGCGTTCTGTACGTCTCCAAGCAAAAAAGCAACAGAGAGGGAAAAAAAGGAACTGTGCAAGTAGCAACCGTGTGTATTTCCTAATTCCCCATCATACTGCTTCATCCCGGGCATCTCCAGCATCAAACGCTCCCCTGGCACCAAAGATCTCCCATCGTCCAAGCTCAGATACCGAGACCACGGAGGGAGGGGCCCGCGTCTTACCAGCGGCGGGTATTCTCCGCTCGCGCTCCCATTCCAGCTGTTCCCTCTCCAGCTGCTCCTGGCGCTCCCGCTCTTGTCTCTCGCGGTCCAGTCTCTCCAGCCGCTCCCGCTCTTGCCTCTCCCGCTCCAGGCGGTCCTGCCTCTCTCTCTCCAGCTGCTCCTGCTCCTGGCGCTCTCTCTCCAGCCTCTCCCTCTCGGACCTCTCCCTCTCCAGCCTCTCCCTCTCCATCCTTTCTCTCTCCAGCTCCTTCTGCCGTTGCTGCTCTTGAAGTTGCCTGAAATGGAAGAAAAAAAAAAAGTTTATCACAGGCAGCAACGGGGACTCATGAAAAAACCTGTTTCTTGCCCTAAGTGGTGTGGCTCAGTGGATAGAGCGCCGGCCTGCAGACTGAAGGTCCCAGGTTCGATTCCAGTCAAGGGCATGTACCTGGGTTACGGGTGCATCCCCAGTGGGGAGTGTGCAGGAAGCAGCTGATCGATGTTTCTAACTCTCTATCCCTCTCCCTCTCTGTAAAAAAATCAATAAAATATATATTTTTTAAAAAACCCAAAACCTGTTTCTTTTGCAATGAACCTGTGTGCACCTCATTTCTGATTCAAATACAAAGTGATGGAGCGCCTGCAAATCAACATCTTCCCTCCCCACACCTGATAGGGGCCCCTTTGGATAGAGGTGACCTATCAGTCTCATATAAATGAAAATAATTTCTCTTGGTAGGATCACTTCTGGCTGACCGCTTTAGCATGTTACACTAATATCTCACTTTATTCTGCACTTGTCATGAAGAAAGTGTTGCAGATCAATGGATTTCCCAAATAACGCATCCACTTTCATCACCAAGGAGTTATTTTAATCCCTCAAAGAGAAAAAAAATTTCTGGATTTTAATGTCCTTCCCTAAAGCATGACGCAAAATCTTCACTGCACACGTAAACCAAAATTTCAGAAAATGCCATGGCCGGTCTTAAGGATAGCTCGATGAAAGTTTCCTAAGTGGAAAAAAAAAAGGGGGGCAGGGGGAAAGCCCCATAGTTAAGTAAGGAGAAATAAAGTTTAAGTTATCTCAAGTCTCAGATGCAGAGGGAACTATAACTAACATTTTGGCATTCATCCTTCCAGACTCTTCCTTATATAAAACGATAAACGTTAAAAAAGCAAATAAAACGGAATACTGACCTACCATTCTGAAAGGTTTTCCTCTCTCCCCTTTGATATATTGTAAAAGGTAACCTAAGGCACTAAGTATAGTTTTGCATCTGTATTTTTCGTGACTGTGTAGCATCCCACTGTTCACCTGACCATAATTTAAGCGGCTGATAGTAGGACAGGTTATCCCAGTGGTCGGCAAACTGCGGCTCGCGAGCCACATGCGGCTCTTTGGCCCCTTGAGTGTGGGTCTTCCGAAGCCTTAGGAGTACCCTCATTAAGTTAATAACAATGTGCCTACCTATATAGTTTCAGTTTAAAAAATTTGGCTCTCAAAAGAAATTTCAATCGTCGTCCTGTTGATATTTGGCTCTGTTGACTCATGAGTTTGCCGACCGCTGGGTTAGCCTAACACGGTTACTACCAACTGCAATAAAGGTTTTATCATCATTCCCCTTTGAAGCCTTTTCCACCTGCATCTTAAGCATCCCTACTGACACGCATTAGCTAGGTGAAAAGATACAAGCTTCGTTTTGTCATAGGGCTTTTCACTTTCAAGGCGAAAATCCAGTCGTATCATGCCTTTCCGTGACCTGCCCTGGGACCGTTAGGCGTTCCCTTTCGCCCCAGCACTTTCTTTTAATACTTCCACAACGAAGCCCTTAGTTCATCTGAACTTCATCTTGGGTTGGAGATGTGAAGTGGGGCTCTACCCCATACACCACTTCCTGAGCAGTGGCGAGCCCCGATTTAAGATGCCACCTTTCTATGTTGACTATTTCGGAACTTTCGGCGTGTTTTGGTTCATAGGTGTGTTTGTCTAGTGTGGGTACCAGGATCTTGATGCTTTGGTGTCTGATATAGACCTTTTTTTAAAAAATATATATATATTTTATTGATTTTTTACAGAGAGGAAGGGAGAGAGATAGAGAGTCAGAAACATCGATGAGAGAGAGACATCGATCAGCCGCCTCCTGCACGCCCCCCACCGGGTACGCGCCCGTAACCCAGGTACATGCCCCTGACCGGAATCGAACCCGGGACCCTTCAGTCTGCAGGCCGACGCTCCATCCACTGAGCCAAACCAGTTTCGGTAACTCCCCCCAAAAAATAAAAAATCAGCTTTATCTTACACATGTTATATTTATTTCACAGCAACCGGGGCTCCCGCCTTCCCACCCATTTCCCACACATCGGAGAGAATGACGGTCAGCTCTTCGGATGTTTCTTATGTTTTAACTTTAGATACTGTCTACTGCAGTGGTTCTTTCGGCTATATAGACCTTTTTTAGTAACCAGTAGAGTATATCCATTTTATAGTAACTCTTCTTATATTAAAAACCTACAGAGGCGCCGAAACCGTCATGTAAATACCTGATATGCAGGATGTCTTTTCATGGTTACAAACTGAACATAATGAAAGCATAGTGATGAATCACAAAAACAATATGTCATTATATATGTTTTCCGATGGTCTTAGGCGACCCCTGTGAAAGGGTCGTTCGACCCCCAAAGGGGTCACGACCCACAGGTTGAGAACCGCTGGTCTACTGGCTTCCTAATAAGACAACTTCTCCAATTCCCGCACCACACACAAGCCTCTTCCCCAATACAGAGGAGAGGGGAAAATACTGATTTCTGCTGATTAAATCAATACCCAGTGTTATTCGCATGTATGATAATGTGGTCACTGCTCACAGTTGAACCACAGAGCGTTCTAAGACGACAGCTCATTTCTTACTATACATGAAGGGCTGCTTCTCTAAGCAATACAATCCTTTTAACACCAAGAGCTGAAGGCCAGGTAGGAGAGAAGTGAATCTCCAAGAATTACTGAATGATGGTATTTACAATTAAGGGTGCCCTAACTTGAGAAGATTGGTCCGTATGTCATAATAGTCCCCAAAGAGGCGTCCACACAGGGAAAGACATGTACAGAGCACTGGCCAATGAGATTAGTAGCTTTTGCATGTATTCAAACACCTACTTCGTGTATGTTGACTCTAAGACTTATTTTGTTTTTTTAAAAGCGAGCAAAACATAAATACCAACATTTAAAACTGCATTTCCTTCAGCCTTCCCTGTCACGAAGAGTGTTAGGGAAATAAAGAGCACTTTACATTTTGACATAATGAGGTAGGAGGGCAGACGAGGAAGAATGTTCTGGGTTGATAACATCCAGTAACGCTCCGATATTACTGAGATTTGTCAGAAAATAAAACCGAATAAACACGGTTTTCTTTCAATATGTAATGTGGGCCCTTCACATCTCTATTTGTATATAAATGAAAAAGGATCAATCTAAACAAGACAGTTACGTTTTGGTATCAGAAAGCTGCCGAGACAAGGGACAAGGGACCATACTTACAAGAGCAGGCGGTCAACTTTCGGGCCATCCTGCCTCTGGAGGCTGAACTGGGACCTGTACACTTTCATGGCTCCAACTCCCTTCGTCTGCTCTGAGTTACTGCTCCCTGCTCCCCCTTTTATAACGTTCAGAGGGTCGGGGTGACTGGGGAGCTATTTATAGGCATGAACTCAATGGAGTTCTACGTGGAGACCGACATAGGACTGACTCACGTTTCTCAGAATATGTCTTTTCATCACAGTCAGCCGAGGATGCCAAATATTAATGAGTAGGAATCAAAAACGGATATTCGAAATCAGGGGTGGGCAACCCCGGGCACGCCAGTCACCTTTGCTGGCACGCGAAACCCTCTCTTAGAATCTCCCATTTACAATGGTGAATCTCTGTTCTCAGTGATGAATTTTGTTAAGTCTCGTAAGAGGAGTATCGCCTGACGGATGAAAGCAGTAGCTCGTGCCTATCTCTGAAGGTCACGAAATAGAAACCTGATGTAAAATCTCTTGTCATCAGTGATGCAGCAGCAAAAGTCCCACTGATAAAATCAAACGGAGTCATAAAGTTTTCTGTCGGACAGTCAGTGTACATGTATACATTAAAAAGGAAATGTATTTTTCACCATCATATACTGTGTTTTTGTTGCTCGAATGAATTTTATTATTTCTTCCAGGTTCTTCACATACGTACACCTTGAGAGATATTAAGTAGGCGTAACATGCTCTCCAAAAATTAGGGTTGGCACGCAGAAGAATTTTGAGTCAGAGATTTCGCTGGTTTTGGCACGCACTCACAAAAAGGTTGCCCACCCCTATTTGAAACCATACGCATAGGAACAGAAAACTAAACTACATGATCGTCGTGTTACGATTACAAAGGTATTTATTGGACTAGTAAGATTTACCATCCATAGTAAACATTCACTTTGTCAACTCAGTGTCACACTTATTCAAAATAAAATAGAAATTAAAGTTATAAAATGCACACACAGCTTAAAAAGCCAAATCATACTATAACAAAACAGGAATCCTGTTCCCTACCTTTTGCTTCGGATTTTGCTCCCGGAAGCAACTGCTTTCAACACTGACTGGTATTCATCTCATACTTCTAAGTACAGTAACTTGTTTAACAACTAATACTTCTTCGTTTTTCAGACTTAGGTGTTACGTACTGACTTTCTCCTGCACAAATGGTTTAATTCCTACAGCCATGAACCCCCCGCCCCTCACACTGTTCCTTCCTCACTCTCCCCATTGAATCCTAACACCACTTTGAGTACATCCGCAATATCCACTTACAGGACTCACGGCTGACCACACAGGCCTTGTAGAACAATGTTTTCTTTCTTTTTTTTAAAAAAAAAAAATTTTTTATTGATTTTTCACAGAGAGGAAGAGAGAGAGATAAGAGAGTTAGAAACATCGTTGAGAGAGAAACATCGATCAGCTGCCTCCTGCACACTCCCTACTGGGTATATGTCCGCAACCCAGGTACATGCCCTTGACCGGAATCAAACCTGGGACCTTTCAGTCCGCAGGCCGACGCTCTATCCACTGAGCCAAACCGGTCAGGGCAGAACAATGTTTTCTTACTCTGGTGTTAAAAATTACTCTTTTTTTTTTTTTTTTTACATCTGCTTCTTTTACTATATCTCTATCCTGATGTCACCCTAAATCCTCCATCCGAACTATAAACGCTCTCAGCATGGTCAACCATATCATGCGACCTATGTTCTGTTTGCTTATTTTGTTTTTCCTTCCCCCAGAAACACCCCTATCAGAAGCCCCCAGGCCTCCGGGCCCCACTGCCCACTTCCGGGCCCTCCTCTCAGTCAGGGAAGAACGCTACCGACAGACAAGGAAACCCAAAGCCAGTAGTCACAGCATTCAAACTAACTTTTTTTTTTTTTAAATAAATGGACCACTGAAGATTACCAGATATTTCAGTAAAACGATAAATAATACAGCCCCATAAGGAGATAATTCAGGCAAAAGTAGACAAACAAGAGAGACTCGTCAAACAATTACGAATTCAGAATAAGCTATGATGAAAAAGGGATTAATTACCCCAAAAAGGCTGTTAGAGATTAAAATTAAATTTTCAATAGATCTGCTACGGTGCTGTCCAATTCGGGAGCCATGCGTGGCGAAGACTGGCACCTGAGCACTTGTAACAGGGCTAGCTAGTCTCAACAGAAACGTCCTGTAAGTGTAACACGTATTAAATTTTGAAGACTCACTATGAATAACAGAATGTAAAAGATCTTAACAATCTGTATACTTATTTCAGGCTGAAATGATAATATTTTGTATAGGCTGGGTTAAATAAAATATGTTGTTAAAATTAACTTCACCTATTTCTTTTGACTGTGGCTAATATGACTATTGGAAAATTTTAAATTGTATATGTGGCTCATATTATATTTCTATTGGATGGTACTGCTCTAAAATATATAGTTAAAAATATCACCAAGCCCTGACCGGTTTGGCTCAGTGGATGGAGCGTTGGCCTGCGGACTGAAGGGTCGCAGGTTCGATTTCAGTCAAAGGGCATGTACCTTGGTTGCGGCACATCCCCAGTCGGGGGCGTGCAGGAGGCAGCTGATCGATGTTTCTAACTCTCTATCCCTCTCCCTTCCTCTCTGTAAAAATATCAATAAAATATATTTTTTAAAAAATCACCAAGAATACAGAACAAAAAAGGCACAAAAGAGAAAAGTATCATTGGGAAAAGCACAGGAGATCCAGCATCTGACCACTACATGCCCCCCAAAGACCAGAAAAATCAGAGAGAACGAAATGGTTAAAGAAATAAATTTTAAAAAATCTAAGAGTTTTGGGTAAGTCTTGGAAAGGGTTTACTAAGATTTGAGCTAAATAAAATGGGATAAAAATCCAAAACACTAAAAATCATATCTAGTCACATATCTTTATGAAAACAGACTACCAATGGTTCATACGAAGGTTTAAAAGAATTCAAGGGCAAGGGGTGAGGTCACCTACAAACAGAAAGGCAAAGATTGATGCCAGTTTATAAAGTACCGCACAGGAAATATCGTCATTAATATTGTAATAGCGATGTATGGTGCCCCGTGGGAAATGGAAGTATTAGGGAGAACACTTTGTAAAGTGTATGTTTGGCTAACCACTATGCTATACGACGGAAACGAGTAAAAAAATAATATTGAGTATAAACTGTCCTCTAAAATTTTTAATTAAAAAAAATTTACAGTTTCATGACCTTTCTAGAAAGACTGCAAATGCCAATGTACAACTCTGAAAATAGAGAAGCGATTCATCTGCCAAATCCAGGTAGCAGAACGGAAGAAAGGGGGCAGGAAAGTGTGCAAAACCACTGTATTCCTCTTTAAAAAGTGGAGCGTTAGAGAGACTAAGGCAGATTCGATTTGAAAAAGAAACCAACAGCGGAACTAATCACTGGCAAGGGAAGGGAAGAAATCTTCATTTTTTTCACTGTGGAGAGTTAACAGCTACGATCTACAAGCTGATCAATAAAGAAATAGAAAAACATAAGCACAGGTACTTAGTGTTATTAGGAAATCACGAAAAGTAAAAATGCTTCGAAGGGATTCATTCATTCTGGGGATTAAAATGAGGGAAGGAGCCCAGCCATGTAGCGGAGTACCCGTCCCTGTTGTAGACCCTCCTGTACTGGGTGGGTCAGATTTTCTTTGTTGTGTGCAAATAATAATAATAATAATAATATTTTTAAAAATTAACCTCGCAGGAATAAAGTAGGACCAACAGAAAGGGATCTTGGCGAAAGACAGAAAAATCACCTAGAAACTATAGCAGTACAGAAAAGAATAAGTACTGGAGTCAGCTATTAGTAATGAGAATCCCAATGGCTTTTCGGGGGGAAAAATTAACAAGGTATAGAGAGAGACTGTGGATGAGGACAGTAACAGACTTTCTAAGCTGACACATGAAAGAGGAGAAATCTGCATTAAGAATGAAAGCATAAGGGTTAAACGGAGGTGTCAGTAGGAGACCCAAATGTAGGAATTCTTGCTGTCGGAAGTCAGGGGGTCTGTGACCGTCTGAAACCGTATGCAGGTTTGCATGTAAATGCGCACACACACACACACACACACACACACACACACGGGAAGGGTTGGGGTCCGGACAGAAGAGGGCAGTAGTCTACTGCTTTCACCAAATTCTCAAAAGGATCCACGACTACTGACCGCATTTAGCTGGGAACCTGGGTCTGGGTGGACCTCATGCGCATGACCACTGTGGGAGCTACAGCTCTGGAAGCCATCAGCCTACAGGAGTTACGAGAAAACGACAACATCCAACCAAATCATTAATTTTTCAAAGGGTATCCTGTGTCCAGAAAGAAAAGGGAGCGCTGAGTGCAACGCCTCCTATCTATCTATAAAAAAGGGGGTACAAAAATTCAATTAAAATCTTGTACAAGGTAAAAGAAAAAAAAGGGGGGCACAGAAAAGAATAGAAAGGGAGAAGAATTAGCAAAAGAGAGAGACACCATCGTATTATTGAAAGGAAGGTAGGAAACTGAACCTGGGAGTGAAGCAGCATGTGCAGTAGGTTTGTGGGAGACACAAAGCAAATTTCGTTGAGATTAAAAAGGGAAATGGGTAGCGAGTGAAGGAATCGAGATGAAATTAATACAGAGAGGGAAAGAAATTGATCTCGAAGGGTTACCTAAAAGGAGGAAGAGTCTGGGTATGACTGTGGACAGGAAATAACTTAAAAAAAACAAAACAAAAAAAACCCATATCATTTTTTTCAGAAATGCGGATTTCACCCTTCAAAACGACCACGCTACAGTCTTCAACGCAAGAAGCAGGCAACATAAAGAACATCTCCCGTGTTCAAACCCTCAGGGATCCACTTACACACAGAGAGAAAAACCCGCAGTCCGGATGAGCACTGCTAGGGCTGGCACTCCGTCTGGAGAGAAGACATCGAAGAGGCACGGAGTTTGCATAACAACTAAAAATCCGCCCGATGCTCACTGCCAGCTGACCTCGCACGCCGCCGCGGGTTCCTGGCAACCCTCTGTGCCCGGGATCACCCACCTGTGACCCGCAGAGCCAGCGGTGCCCTGGGTGTCTGTTTCCATCCCGCACCGCCCTGGCCCGGAGCCACGGTCTCCGATTACTTGCTTGCCCACTGCGTGTTCACCGAAATTATGGATTTTATGTTTTGGGTTTTCTCCTGGCTCTTCCTAGTTTTCTACACATGGCTAAGTCCCAATAAGACTATCATCATTTTTTATTCATTACTTTCCTGGTGATATGTGTGTGTGTGTGTGTGTGTGTGTGTGTGTGTGTGTGTGTGTAGTTATGTGTCTGTGTGTTTCTAACTCTTGGAATTATTCTGGCATGTGTAAAACTCTCAATATGGGCCTTAGCCGGTTTGGCTCAGTGGATAGAGCGTCGGCCTGCTGACTGAAGGGTCTCGGGTTCGATTCTGATCAAGGACACGTGCCCTGGTTGCGGGCTCGATCCCCAGTAACGGGGGTGCAGGAGGCAGCCGATCAATGATTTTCTCTCATCATTGATGTTTCCAACTCTTTCTCCCTCTCCCTTCCTCTCTGAAATAAAAAAAAAACATTTTCAAAAACTTTAAAACTCTCAATATGGAATTGAAATGATTATATCTTTTGAGCTTTCCTATTTCTATAGAAACTTAATTCTATTTATAAAATCTGTTCATTATAGCATCACTCCAAAGAGTTAGATAAGATTTTCACCAAATTTGGAGGCTATTTCAGGGGTAATTTAGGCCTGAATAATTAGGCTTTGGCAAAAAAAAATCATTCTGGGAGATTCTACAGAGCCTTCAACACGTCTTCGCTTGTTTAAAATGAGACACGGCGCGACTAGCTCAATTTTAGTTACCGACCATACCTGAAGTCTAGAAAACTATTTGGTTACAAAGGAGCTCACCATTCCAAGGTTCTGCTCATGATTCCTAGCATCTTTATAAACTGCACTGAAATAATGAAGATGGTGTTACTGATCTCCCTCCACCAGCCGTTCCGTCATCAGCAGAACGGTTCTGTCTTCCACTGCGCTACACCCAATGGTAGCCTCTCAAGTTCAATGCCTTCTACAAATGGCCAGCACTATTTCAACTTTCTAGTTACGTTGGTCCCGTGAAAGCCACACTGATCACAGATTAATTTATAACTACTTTAAAAATAAGACTCTTGGAGGTACAAAGACGTGTCCATGCTGTTTAAAATATCTACACCTACACAAATACAATTTTTACAATTAAGCAGATAGGAAATTATAATTCTCTTAACATCTGTTATCCAGCATAGCAAGAATCTTCTTGTTCATTATTGGTGATTATAAAACTTAATGGTGTAACAATACAATTTTTGACCTTCAAGTGACTAATGAGATATTATCTGTTTTCAATATGAAGATGTTTGGAGTTTAATCTCCCACAGCAGAATGAAAGTATAAACAAGAACTGATAAATTTACCTCCTTTGAATTTCCAATTCTTCTTGTGACGGGCCATTCTGAACTTGGGCAGGAAGCTGTGAATTTTGTCTAGGCAATGTTGGCCCTAAAAAAGGGAGGAAGAACAGCATAGGTAATCATTATCTGGATATTTAGCTGGCGAGAGATAAGACCATGAGAATAACATAAAAGCCATCACATAGCTACAAATGTGTCTTCGTTTTGCTTAGCAAAATAAAACGTAAGCTTTCCGTAACACAGCAGCAAATGAGGGACCGCAAACGTAATACCGGCATCATATCCGAAGGCTTACTGGAAACAAATGGGAAACATCCACAATGAAGGGAAAATGAACATTTATTTATGAAGAGCTGGAGGCAAACAAATATTCAATGAGCAGCTGGGGAGGCGTCTAAGCTTGACACTTCTAAGACAATGAGACATTCTCCCCGGAGGACTGGCTCATGAAGTGGAGAACTTTAAAAAAATGAGGAAAAAAAATCAGAATTCAAAACTCACCTAAATAGAACACTGGAAATGAAAAACAGGAGAGAGAGAGCATGAGAACCTTATTAGACTGATCGATGCTAGTGCAGCGGTTCTCAACCTGTGGGTCGCGACCCCTTGGCGGTCGAACGACCCTTTCACAGGGGTTGCCTAAGACCATCCTGCAGATCAGATATTTCCATGACGATTCATCACAGTAGCAACATGACAGTCATGAAGTAACAACGAAAATAATTTTATGGTTGGGGGTCACCACATGAGGAACTGTATTTAAAGGGCCCGAAGGTTGAGAACCACTGTGCTAGTGCATTTATCCAATTTGCTCAATTAAAGCTTCCCTTCTTATGTTAATGGCCTGGCATTGAGCACTGGTAAAAAAATAAATAAATAAATAAAATAAAAACAAAACATTGGCTAAGCTTAAGATATAATTAACCTATCTGTCTGAATTTTTAAGATAGCAGAGGTAATGTTACTTTTCATCTGGGGTATTAAAAAAAAAAAAGACAGACCCTGCATTCAAATCCGCATGGTTTCGCCATGAGAAACCTTAATGACCATCCATTCTTATGTGTCATGTACAAGGCAGACCTATTTTCAGCATCTGGTGAAGAATGCCACTAAATTATGGGACATTTTAATGTCTCTGGATAGAAAAACTAACTGTGTCATAGGATGAGATAAATGCTGGACCTAACAGACCGACAATTACGAAAGACCAGTTTTGAAATTTAATCCATTAAATTAAAGAATAAAGAAGTAGCTATCTTCCACTCTTGGAGAGAAATATATGAGTAGTGACATGCTGTACATGTCTATGAATTCCAGTGTGCCAGCAAGTGCCTCTTAGCAGATATTTTAAAAGTGTTTCGTAAACCACTAGTATAAAAAAAAAAAAACAGTTAATAAACGCTTCTAAAGTAAATGCTTATCATCTACGAAGTCACAGCACAAAGTATTTTATACTAGTGGAGTGAATGCCACCACCAGAAGAATAAGGCTCATTCAAATGTCATACAGAACTGGTTTAATCCCGTGTAAAAAAAAAAAAATAGAATAATTCGACCTGAACTTACCTACTAATTTTTTCCACCTCTCTTTACACATTTTTTTACATTCATCATTTAATTTGTCCTCTAAAGACAAACTAGATGGCAAGGGCAGTGATCTATTTCATTAGGTTTCCTAAGAGTCTGCTATTTTGATAGCCACATGAAGGAAATATAAAACTATATTAATCCCATGTCATCAGTAACAACAACAAAATTGAAAAGCTCAGGATGCTCAAATAATTAAATAGCTGGATGTTAGAAGATTACGCTTCCTTGGCTCCCATCTCAAAGAAGAATGCAATGATTACTACATCTAAGACAGGCATGTATCGCAACGATAACACTAATAATATATTAAAATCTACCCATGTAAATTTTAACTCAAATATATAAATTCAAGAAGATACATAAAACTTTCAACTCAATTCCACTGATTTTATTAAACAGGTTTAAAAACAAAAAACAAAAATTGAACAGTCCTAGCTGGTTGCTCAGTGGATAGAGCGTCGGCCTGCGGACTGAAGGGGCCCAGGGTTGATTCCGGTCCAGGGCATGTACCTTGGTTGCGGGCACATCCTAAGTAGGAGGTGTGCAGGAGGCAGCTGATCGATGTTTCTCTCTCATCGATGTTTCTAACCCTCTATCCCTCTCCCTTCCTCTCTGTAAAAAAAAAAAAAAATCAACAAAAAAAATTTTTTTTTAAAGAGGGCCACAATAACATGCCAGACAGATGGGCCTCTGACATCTCCTCTTAAAAAAAAAATCCCCAAGTGAGTAAATAAATAAATAAAACTAACAAACTAACAAAAGTTGACATAACTCAAAAAAGACTCTGAAGGACAAAAAATTTTTTTTTTTAGCAATTCACAGACTTGGACTCTGTTTTGAGTTAAAAGTTCACGCAGCAAATTCGTTTTAAAAGAAGTTCCTCTCCTGGCTGGTATCACCCACTATCAAAACAACTTACTACCGTTTATTCATGCAGCTGAGGAGCAAGGGGAAAACTTCATGGAAGATCCTTTATAAGTGGGGGAGGGGAGTCCGATCCAAGAAGAACCGAAAATTCTCCCTACGTGGCTCTTTGTGTCTTTCCATAGACAGTCTTTAACTGGGGGCCGGGGAGGGGGAGCAATCTATATATTTAATCGGGGGCCGTGTTGGCTGCTTCTTCATCAATATTGTCAAGTCACGTGCATGTAAAAATGCTATCAATATATCATCAGCATTAAATAAGAGAGTTCCAGGTAAATGACGAACTTCAGGTGCACAATTATATTTCGCCTTCTTGTCAAGCTTTCTCTGCTGGGTTAGACAATTCCTTAGTCCCACCAAAGGCACCAACACTCAACAGGAAGCAGCGACGAGGATGGGGTAAGGCTTGTCCGCTGCCACTGTATTTTCTAGAACATAACTACCGCTTACTTCACAATATTCCTACAGGAGTGTCTGTGTCCCCACAGACTGCAGATAAGGCCCTTCCCTAACCAGTGGGCAAATGACAGTATTTTATGGGCATCATGTGCGGGTTATCAGTTCTCTTTTGGGTAAAAAAAGAAACAGGTCATTGCTTGTCCCTGCTATATTATCATAAAAGAATAGCTATTTGAAGGTTAGTTTCTTCTCCTTTATTACCACCGTCATAACCAATGGTTGATCTTCATTTTTTCCTGGCTAGAATTCATACAGCAAAGCGCGTGAATTATAATTTCGAATAAAGAAAATGCGTCCGTGTCGCTGAAATGGTATTCTATGAATGATGGCAGTCAGGGGAGAATTTCTCTCTGAGCCAGGAATGAATGGCAACTCAATCTGGACTTCAATACTGAGTTTTGGCTAAAGCAACATTTCGTTACTACAACATTTTAATTTTCACAAATATAATTGCACACTTAGCCATAGATTACTTAAAAACACAGGGCCAGAAGACAAATAGGTGTTATTACACACAATACAATCAAGTTTAAGCTTAGCCATGTGGTAATGACATGGTTTGTACAACTCAAGATAACAAGGGGGGACATCTGCTTTTTAACACATAATTTTACAACTTAAAGAATTCACGTCTATTAAGGCCCAATCAAGCCTTTCTCTGCAATTGGGTAAACTGTGCTAGTGGAACTCAACATATTCAGTAGCAAGTACAGAACATCAAGTAGGTTTTCAAAAAAGACTAGAGTCCCAAGAACACAAATACGAATCATCATCCATGGCTAGTTCAAAAGAGGGCCTGGAAGAAACCCCGAGGGGAGGCAGAAAATTCAGAATCAAAAGTTACCGATGAAACGCTTCATCTGCAATAATTGTGGATTCTGGGGAGCAGTGGGGGGTTTATAAAGAGCCAAACAAGGGGCTCACTGCTGTAACTGTGTCACCTGGAGCAGTCACTACATACAACAAGAAACACACTAGAATGTTCATTTGTGGAAATGTCTAACACACGTTTCTTTGCCTAAACCAGCAAATTTTAAAATAATTCTCTTCGTAGGTAAAGAAACAAGGCCAGGAACACTGAAGAATCACATCCAAAGCTTTGAGTCGCATGCATAAAGTACGTTCTGTACACAGTTAAACTGTTTATATGAAATTCTAGCAGTATATCATTTTATCTCTCATTTAAAAATCTGACCAGGTATATGGGAGTCACACACACACAAAAAAAGTATACATGAGTTAAAAAAAAAAAAAAAAGCTCTGATTTGAAAGTTACTTTCTGAACTTGGGTTTTCGAAACAGAAAGTTTTAGAATCAAATGAAGATAAAAAGAAATCAGATGTGTGTGTGTGTGTAGATACAGCCTGTGTAAGGATAAGGATATGCGTATATCTGATTAACTGGAATTTGGGGTAACTGACATATCTGGTTTGTCTATACAAATAATACATATATGTACACACTTGTGAATAGGAGAGTGAAGTAAAAACACCCCATAAAGCCTAAATTCACGCCTGAGCCACAAATACCTACACCACAGAATAAAAGGAGGCTGCTGGATCAGAAATCAACCTACGAAAGCAAGGAAGGGCTCCCATCTGCCAGGTGACGTGCACACCGACAAACCCAAGTTCAGCAAAAGCTCCCTCCCAATAGGGCTCATACAGCCTGTGTAAGGATAAGGATATGCGTATATATGATTAACTGGAATTTGGGGTGACATGTCTGGTTTGTCTATACAAAC